TCTTTCACTGCCTTTTCAATCTCATCCAATGTGGGGACTTAACCCCTTTCTGTGACAATGACACCTCAATGCACAGCTCCAGCAGATTCCCCTGCCACACACTCCAGTCTGTCACATCGGTAGTCAACCCATGCACTCAGTGTCCCCATGGGCAGACCTGACCTCCAGGTTTCACTTCCCAAACCTTCTCTACTTGGTTCTCCTTGTTCCAATCAAAGGCAGTGTCATCTCTCCAGGATCTGGGGACAGAACCTTGGAATAATCATTGACGCCGCCTCACAGCCATTTCCTCAGGGAATTGTGTTTGATTCTTCTTTCAAAGTGTATCCAGAATCAGGCCGTGGTCCCTTCCTTCCTCCATGGCCACTCTGGCTAAGACATTGCATGTCTCATGTCACAGCTCTTGTTAGCGCAGTAGCCAGGGTGACCCCTCTGACATGGAAGTTCTGTCTATTCTAGAAACCCATTTGCTCAGAAAACGCCCCTGAAATGCCCTCTCAAGGTGTTTCCCTAAACAATGACCCTCCTTTCCTTAGAGAAGCCCTGGGGAGGAGTGGCCAAATGACATTTCCCACCACAGATGAGCCTCGCAAAAGCCCAGAGACATCTTTCCCCTTAAGACTAAGCGGCAGCGGGAGACGTCCCCACAGCCATAGAGATGGTCTACGACAGAGCCATGATACAGGGTCGGCCGGATGTCCAGTCCGACACTCGTGTCCTCCTGATTCCCTCTGCTTCCAGAGCCCTGGGGTTGCTATTTCTGCTGTGCTGCTGCTCTTCTGCCTCTTGGAGTTCTGCGTGGCGTGCACCTCTTCCCACTTCGGCTGCCAGCTGGCCTGCTGTCACTACAACAATGTGAGTCCCAGGGCACAGATTCCCCAAGACAATGGAAGCAGAGGGTCTGTGTGTTTCCCGTTCCTTATCCAGGAGCAAGGGAGCCATGCAGCATCTCAGGGCCTCCACACAGGCCTGTCCTTCCTTTGCCCTTAGTCCTGGGTTGTCTTAGTCCATTTTCTGTTGCTATTACAAGACACCTGAGGCTGGGTAACTTATAAAGAAGTTTATTTAGCTTTCGTTTCTGGTGACTGAAGGTTTCAAACAACATTGAACCAGAGAGCTGGCAAAGACGTTCTGGCTGCATCACAACATGGCAGAAACATAGAAAAGGAAACCCCTAGTGCAGAAGAGGCCAGGCCTGTGGGGTAGCCTCATTCTATAACAAACCCCTCTTGCAAAATCCAATTCACTTCTGTAAGACCCAGCCTGCTCTCTTCATGAGGATGGAGCCCCCTCCCCTGGCCCCACCACCTAGAGGTCCCACCCCCTCAACACCACCATACTGGGGTCAAAGCTCCCAGCAGGTGAACCTTGGAGAACAAACCCTAACCTCACCATAGCATGTGCCTGTTTTCCAGGTGGGCACGGTCATCCCAAATGTCTATGCAACAAACCCAGTGGTCATCCCAGAACCGCCGAACTCAGTGCCAAGTTACTCCAGTGTGGGCCAAGGCCCCAAATAAGCCATGTTCAAGATTCAAGAAGCATCTTTCACCGGGTCCAAAAAGAAGTGCTCCCTTTCCTGGGCTTTCATGCCCAGGTTCTTCCTTCCCTGAACTGAGGGAAGGTTCTCTCCACTGCTCACACCCTGGGCTTCATGCTTCAGGTCGGCCTGGGAAACCCTGCTGCTCTTCTGCTAAAAAGATGGAAATCTCAGATGGATTTTAACCCAGAGGTCCTCCCTCAGGCACACGCTTCTGCGTGCATGTGTGCAGCCACACCTGGGCCTTCGTGCACACGTGTCCTGCGTGGGAGCTTGTGGGTTAGAGGAGCACCTATCTGGACCCCCAGTCTTCACGCTTTCAATCACTGATCCTTTAATAAATATGTCCTGAGCATTTGATATGTTCCCGGCTCTGTTCATGGCAGGAGTGGGATAAACAATGGCAAACAAGACATAGTCCTTGACCTTTCATAACTTCCAGCCTCCAAAGAGAGCACACCCTATGCCCAGCATGGTGGTGCACACCTATAACCCCAGCCATTCGGGAGGCTGAGGCGGGAGGGTCACAAATTCGAGGCCAGCCTCTGCAGCTGACTGAGACCCTGTCTCAACAGAGAAGGAGCTGGGAGTGTGGCTCAGTGGTAGAACTCTTGCCTAGCATGCACAAGGCCCTGGGTTTAATCCCCAATGCCACAAAAAAGAAAAAAAGAAAGAAGGAGAGAAGACACTGTGTGAGCGATTTCTTGTGACACAGGGCAGGGTAGGGGGGACAGGTGTACAGAAGAAACCCAGAGGTGGCCATGATGAAGTCTGGCAGCCATGCAGCAAGGGGTGAGGAGAGCAGAGAGCGAGGCCGTCGGAGGAAGCCTCTTGCCGGGCCGTTAAAGAACAGGAAGGGTTTTCTTGGTGTGATACAGGAGCTCTCTCAGGGAAGACACCCGGAGAGAGTGACCCGTCCTCTGGAGTGACCAGGCCTTTCTGTGCTGTTACCTCTGAATAAATAAGGTGACAGAGATTTCAACCTGTAAATTTGGGGGGATGCTAACAGTCCATGTGGAAGAGAATTTGTGGATTTTATCGATGGGGTTTCAGAGTCCACACTGAAAGAAGTCGTGAAGAAATGACCTTGAGCTTTGGGTTTTGGTGCGTTGTGGTTCTCAGCAAGAGGAAGGAGGCGAATTCGGCCCTGTCAGGAGACGTCGGTGGTAGCCCAGCTGGGGCTGGAGGAGGGGTGCTGTTGTATCCTGTGGGTAGAAACCAGGGTTGATGCTAAACGCCCTGCAGTGCACAGGAAGACCCCTCAGCAAAGAGCTGTCTCGCCCACAAGGCCAACGGAGACCAGAAAGAACAACATCCATGATATGTGAGCAAGCTATTCAGACCTTGCTTTCCCAACTCTCTCAATCAAACAGAGAGCCAGATGTGGGACTCCAGCTTCCTTCTCAGTGAAAGACATGGCACAAACCTGATGGGGTTCAGGACACACGACCTCGAAATCCAGCACCTGGGCCTTTGGGAAAACAGAAGGATTGGGAAGTTCACTCTCACCTTCTCCCCCCTCCCCAAGCAGGTAGAGAGGACCTCGTTTGAAAGGACCTCCCTGTGCCCAGAAAAAAGGAAGAGCCTGTCTCTGAGCACACAGGGCTGGCAAGGAGATTGAACAAACAGGCCGTGCTAAGCTCGCCTGGGTTTATGGCCATTAGATCATCCTTTTTTATCCAGTCGTGCTTCTCCATGACTTCTCACTTCCTCCTCCAACCAAGTACAAAAACACACAGGTTTACAGTGTCGTAAGATCTTCATTTCCTTATGAGGCTCCCACAGCAAATAAAACTGACATTAAAGAGGTGTGTGTGCTTTTTCTCTTATTAACCTCTTCTGTCATTGGGAGCTTAGCTGTGAACCTAGCACCAGGGAGATGAAAAGGTAGCAGCGCCTCCCTTCTCCCCAATCTGATTTTGATCTTGGAAAACCCAGTCATTTTCATTAAAGGTCTTTATTTCTGTGAACAGCTAACACAGGGTTTTTTTTTTTTTAAATGAATACTTTTAAACTGTCTCCACTTTTGTTTTTACGATGGTAAATATCAACCCACATGAACAAATGCTCTTTGAAAGTCCTTAATAATTTTTTAAGGGTGTAAAGAGGTCCTGGGAGCAGAGAGTTTGGGAACCCCTGGTCAACCCGATGACTCCCGCCTCAGAGCCCTGCAAGACCTCCCAGCACCGACAGAATGAGGGTAAATGCCAGGCCCTGGTATTCCAGGATCTCCTTAACTGTCCTTCAGCCCCTCTTCCCCGAGTACGAATCCCAGTCCTCCAGTTGGTCAGCCTCTCCGCGGCTCCTGCCCTGGATTCCCCAGTCTCGGGCATCTATTCCCTCATTCATTAGACACCCAGCACCAGCCTACACAGATAAAAACCAGACCCCAGGGGCTCAGAGGCTCATAAACAAAAATACACAAATACAAGATCGGCAGTGGTACAGTACACGGGACAGAGTCAAGTGACAGGCGGCCTGGGAGTTCAATACAGAACACTGCAGAAGAGGCAAGCGTCTACAGTTCTCAAGACGCGGCTGATTGGCTCAGGTGATGACTTCTTTAGATGGTTGTGAGTTTGACAAATGAAAGGGCCTCCCCCCCTAAGGAACGGTCAGAAGGTGCCTGATGAAGTAGAGAAGTGACTGTCCTCTCAAATACTATGCAGAGCATCCGGAGATTCTGGGGGTGGCTTTGCCGGGGCACAGGGGGGGCTCTGAAATGAGAAGAAAAGGAAATTGAAGGCAGGAGCAAGAGGGAACCTAGAACCGTGGAGGAAGGCCAGGGTCCTGGAGAAGACGGGGCTAGTTCCAGTTCTCTGGCAGGAGGAGGCGAGGATCAGAGATGTTCAGGCCTCAAGGATAAGAGAATCGCTTAGCTTTGCTGTCCTGCACCTTGGCCAACCCCTGTGACGCCCACTTTTAGATAATTCTGCCACACAGAACTGCTTTGCCAAGTTCAGCTTCAGGAAAATCCCAGGAAGGATCTGTCAAACTCCAGCACCCACATAGACATGAATCTCCAATAAAGGAACTTATATTTCAGAATAAACCAAGAACAGGGCTGCTACCCAGGACACACAAGCACAGGCCTGGTGGCCTCTGCTATGTCCGGGGACCAAAGGAAAGATCGGGGCTTTTATTAGGACAGAGAAGTCTATCCACCCTCTTATTTTAAAAGAAATTCCACTGAACTTTTGGGGCCAGCAAGAGCTCTGATTAGTGAGTGGTAAGTAGAGCTAGTCTCTTAGGGTCACAGCTGCAGTTTGGTCATCAGTGCTACCAAAGCAGTCTTAAAGACCATTTGGTGCTCCTGGGTCCAAGCTGCATCACGTGATCTCTGCCTCCTGTTCACCTGGCACTCACTCTCACGTTCATATTTGTTCCGGTGTCTACATTTCCCCTTTCCATAAGAATATCCGTCATATTGAATTAGGGCCAACCATAATAACCTCGTTTTAATTTAGGTGCAATTGCAACGACTCCATCTCCAAATAATTCCCCATCTCCTGATAGTTTTCTGTGTCTGAAGCACAGTACGGTTATTAGTACAGTTGTGTTACTGCAGCCTAAGTGTTTCAATGCATCAAGGGCCCACCTCAACCCCAAAATAGCCTAACTCACCCACCCCCTGTGCTTTATCAACTGTGGGTGAGTATGCACACAGTGCCCCCTCCATACCCAGGGGTCACTCTCCAATTCCTTCCACCCAACTATTTCCCAGAGCTTCAGTCTCTGAGAGGCTACTCTGAGTTTCAGAGATGCCCTGATCTTGCTCTAGACAGGCTCCATACAGAGAATTAGAAGCTGCTTCTGCTAAAGGCACTTCACTTGGGCCAGCAGATGCCCTCAGAGTAACCAAAAGCAGGAAAAGGCTTGGAATCTCTGCTTTTCATGTCTTCTTTATATTAACTTCAGGGAGGGGGGAGTCCATCCCTTCTGCTCAACTCTGCGTGTTATTCATTCACAGAGCCTTCATCTACAGCTGGGAATCCATCCCCTTCAAGGCTGAAGACACCAAGATCAGACTAATTAAGGCATTCTCAAGATGTGCAGGGATATTCTGCGCTGCCAGATTTCACGGTCTCCTATTCCAAACCCCTGGAGTGGCACCTAGAAGTCTCTAGTCATTGCCCTGTACCTTCCAGGCACAGGGGAGCCTTGCAGGCAGATGGTCTCTTGATGAGACTGCACCCCTAAGCTGGAGTGATCATCCCAAGGGAAATGAGCTACCCCCTTGCAGGATCACAGGTCTGCTAGACATACATCCTGAGCAGCCAGTGGAGATTGCCTCCTCGTGCAATAAGGACCCCTCTGGGGCTGCTTCACACAACCAAAACTGAAATCATGATCCACCAGACCACCATCTGACCACTGCTTAATGATGCTGACCTCTCATCCCGACCCAAGTTCTTCCTCTTTAAACCCAAATCTCAGTACCCCAAAGGCAGGGTAGAGTTGCTTGGTCGCACCTGTCTTCCCAGGATGCCATATAATCAAAGTTCCTTTCCTGCTTTCTTCATGGATACATTTTCCGTTTAGTTTTTGGAGCAAGTGGCTGGACCTGACTTGTTGGGACCCCAGAGTTGGGCTTCTGGTAACAGGTCCTCCCTTTCCCATTCCTCATGTGTCGTGGACCACATGAGCAAGAGCGTCAGGCGAAATCACAGAGTTAAACCCAGCTTCTTCAGCTCCTGTGTCCTCTGCCATAGGAAAATATGTCCCAGGTAGGAGCTCCCCCTCCCACATGCGCCACAGAATGCAAACACAGTGGTGAACCTGAGCAGGACATTTTGGCCTGAAGTTAAATCAGTTAAGAAGAATCTTAACTGACCAACAGTTTCATGTTCCAGGAACAAGAAATGAATATCTATTGTTGGAAGTCATTGAGATGACAGGCATGCTGGTTACCAGAGCAAACACTGACTCAATAGCGAGAGTGACAATCCGGGGAACCTAACACTGACAAACCCCCACCGAGGTCAGGGTTGGCAGCTCAGGGCATGCTTTTGGCAACGATGGAAGCGCTGATTCCCTTCCTGTTTCTGTGTGCGATGGGCCAACCTGTCACCCACAGCGACCAGCTCTGTTCTCAGGCTTTGTTTTGCTTTGTGCGTTTTTTTTTTTTTCTGATGCCACATTAATAAATAATTGACCCAGAGCAGTGAAGAAGGAAAGGGAAAGGGAAATTCTCTGTTTAAACAGAAGGCCAGGCAGACCGGCAGGTGTCCAACAGTACAGGGTGCACGGGCCTCAGGGTGTCTACAGCAAGCCCCTCTTGATTTGTGAGGGAAAATCTGCTGAGTGGGCTGCCCTTCGGCTGGACTCAGTCCAGTCTGTTGGTCTTA